ATCGCGGAGAGGCGGCTTCAACGCCAGGCCTGCGCACGCGTCATGGTGACCACAGCTGAGCGCCCGTGTTGTCAGATGGACTGTCGAGCGCCGTGTTGATGCCCTTTTCCCTTCCTCGTCTCTTCTCTGATTTATTCATGCATGGGTGTGTCTGATCCTACAGGAGGAAAAGACAAACTCATTGTTAGACAATGTATTGTAAAGAGACTAGATCGAATGGATACTTCCCTGGTCCTTTTGTTTGTACGAATGGTGCGATGAGTAGAGCTCTAGCGGCCAATTTCTCTGGCGATGGTAGTTGATTTGCTGTTGAAGATTGGAGAAAAAACCATTTGCATCATGGTTCGATAGACGCCATGCCCCACGGTGGGCGCCAACTGTCGTGGTTCTAAGTCTGACAGTAGAATAGGGGTAGTATAACGGAGCATGATCTATCGAGATGCATATGGGTGACACGGTGGTTTTAGCGAGTTCGGGCCTCTCACGGTGGAGATAACAACCCTACGTCTCGTGCTCCGGAGAGGCTTTGTTTTATCTGAGTATATATCCGGAGATTACAATGTATGTGAGAGAGAGGAACGGATCCCCATGCCTGAGCTAAGTCCTGAGACTAATGGTGAAGAAAGAGAGAGGTGGAAGCCGCCCCCTTGTCTAGTGGTGGGGGGTGGCTTATATAGAGTGCGCCACCCCCTCACCTCCTATGTTACAAAGTGGGGTATGAATGCCATAATGCCAGCCCGCTATTAAGCCCTCACTATTAGAAAGATGCTGACTGCCTTGCTGCCTGCTGGTCTTCGTATATCCGAGTGAGTCGTACGGTCGAGTGGTGAGCCGTCATCCGAGTGGATGGTATGTTGCTTGGTCGAGTGGATAGTATGCTGCTTGTCCGAGTGGATAGTGTGTCTGTATGAAATTGACCTGGACCCACATGTTGTGTGGGCCCCATGCTTCATGATATTTCGACCCTTCGTGGGCCTACCTGTTATGTATATCCCCAACAGCGGGCGCCCCCCCTCTGGTCCGAATTGGACAAGGGGTGCAGTCCACTTTTCCTTGTTCCTCTCCCCCTCTTTCCTTCTCTCCTACTCCAACAAGGGAAGGAGGAGTCCTACTCCCGGTGGGAGTAGGACTCCCCCCTTGACGCGCCCTCCTCCTAGGCCGGCCACCTCTCCCCTTGCTCCTTTATATACAGGGGCAGGGGGGCACCTCTAGACACACAAGTTGATCAGTTGATCTCTCCCAACCGTGTGCGGTGCCCCCTCCACCATATTCCACCTCGGTCATATCGTAGCGGTGCTTAGGCGAAGCCCTGCATCGGCAGCAACATCATCACCGTCACCACGCCGTCGTGCTGACGGAACTCTCCCGTGAAGCTCTGCTGGATCGGAGTTCACGGGACGTCATCGAGCTGAACGTGTGCTGAACTCGGAGGTGCCGTTCGTTCGGTACTTGACGTCGGATCGTGAAGACGTACGACTATATCAACCGCGTTGTGCTAACGCTTCCGCTTTCGGTCTACGAGGGTACGTGGACAACACTCTCCCCTCTCGTTGCTATGCATCACCATGATCTTGCGTGTGCGTAGGATTTTTTTTGAAATTACTACGTTCCGCAACAACCATGCCCGACAGGTGTTCGGCGAAATGCCATTGAGCTAATTTTTGAACGCCACGTCATTTTCTAGAGTAAAAAGGATGGTGTGGGTACTCGGCCATGGAGGATGAGTTGTTCTGTGATGCGTGCTTAGTCATATCTGCTAATTTCGTAGAAAGACACAGAAGGGGGCTCTTCTGGCAGCACGTGCATGACTCGTTTCACGCGCGAAAGCACATTCCACCCTACGACATGCACATCATCCAACAACGCAAAGGGAAGTCATTATTGTATCGATGGTACACCATCCACACTATCGTCACCAAGTTTTGTGGCGCAGCTAATTTGCTGGAGACAAGGCAGGCATTGCACACAGCCGCGGAGGAGATCATAAGTTTTGCTTCTTCTTGCTCAACTTGTCGATCGAATCATTCATTCACTCAATGTTGCTCTACACATTGTGTAGCATGTACACGTTGTCGTGATGTATCACATGATAGAGGGACGATCATTTAGGTATATACATTGTTGGATGAAGGGGATATGGGTGGAGGACATGATTCGTTCATGAAAAACTTGTCGAACATCCAGTTACTCTCGTGAATTTGAACTATTTTTTACTAGACTTATTTGTATGCTATGTATGGACGATTCGTGCTATTTTCTATCCAAACTTTGACAAATTCCGCCAAGTTTGATGAATTTCGTCTGATTTGTTGAAACTCGGCTTGAAATGTATGCGGGTAGCATTGGATGGCCGGCTCCCACATCCATTTCCGCGGAGTGGCCCCCCTCTTCACAGACGGACGTGGGAGGAAATTTGCGAGTCGGCGTTGGAGATGCCCTTATATCTATAGACCATTATCCAATTGCTTTTATTGTCAACACTCTACTTCAAAACCGAAATCCATCGTGCATCTTAAAGTATTAAGTAAAAATTAAGCATTGCATTAAGTAAGGTGAGATAACGTTAATAATATATTCTTTTTACCTTTTGTTCATCACCGATACAACTGGGAAAATTATCATTTTATCCTTCATGAAGTGAAACACTATAATGTTTTTTTCTATCATTGGGGATTACTTGCAAGGTTAAACTCAACCAACATATACCACTCCCTCTTGAAGATCATTCATAAAAATATGGCCAGTGCAAGACTAATAGACTGTAAATCATCTACATATATAAATCATGCAACGAAGAACAAAAAACTAGAAATCCATATAATATGATCATAAAGTGACAATTTATCACACACAAAAAATACATTAGACTAATCACAACGATATGATGCAGATCATGTGATCTTTGTATTGAAGAAAATGAGAGGTGGGAGAGAGAGACGCCACACAACTAATGTTATGTAGCCATAGTCCAAAGAGTGCTACTCACACATGAATTTCCCCTTCGACATAGTAATGGCAAAGAACCTCAGATTGGATTGCTCCGAACGGGCAGAGGCGATGGCGTAAAAGTTCATTCTTAATTATGTTTAGCATCAAGAGGTTTATATAGAGCCATGGGAATCGAGAGAAGGCAAAGAGGTGCCCTAGAGGCTAGAGAGCCCCCACAACCCAGGCCCGGGAAGTGTGGTGGGGCCCCGTTGAGTCCATGGGCCTCCCCTCTGGTACTTCTTCGCTTCTCGTGATCTTATGTAGATTTCCTTAGGAGTATATTCGGATTTTCTAATTATCATCCATATAAGAATTAATAGAGTCTCATCTAACTCATATACCATTTGATTAATCAAACAAAACAAAAAGGAAAAACCGCACAAATCTTCATGTAAAATCAAATGGTGTGGAATTTAGATGTGACTTAGTTAGAGCAACTCTAACGGATCCCCTATAATCGAGGTTTTTAGGGAATCCACTATAATCGATTACAGAAGGACAAATTTTGTTTTCCTCCTCTAATCAACACCTAAACGATCCCTTATAACGTTTAAAGGAGGATAATTTATCCTCTGCTGCTTCTCACTCGTGAAGTAGTTTTGTTTGGCTTCACTCCCGCTCACCGCTCTGCCTTGCTCGGCCGCATCTACTCCGCTGCCGCCCTCCTTGCCTCCGTCGACCATCGCCGACACCCCACAGTCCCACCGACCTCCCGCCGCCAAATGCCGGTAATCTTTTTATCCTTCTTTCCATTGCCTCCGGCCATGGAGGCGCTCCTCTTCGTCATCCCTAGCCCGGCGGCGCTCATCCCGTAGTCAAAACTGGTGATGACACGATGGAGGAGGCACTCCCATCGGCTCTTCAGCCGCACAAAGGCGTCCACGGCCACCTGCCAGACAAGCTAGAGTTGCCCTCGAAGTTGGCCTCGACGGCGGCGGCTGCGACGGATTCAAGGTCCAGCCACCATAGAAAGCGTGGCATGAGGATGGATGGGATGGTGCCTCCAAGTGCCCCAGGCTGCTCCGCAGCTCTCACCAATCGGGCGGCTCGACGTCCACCAAGGGAACACGCGCAACGCGTGCGGCAGCAAGCAACAACACAACGAGAAAGGTCACGTGCGATATGTGCGATGCATTCGGCATCGGATGAGGACTTGTGACTCCAGCGTAGTCACCATCGTCACCGCTCACCGCGAAGGCATATAACAACTGTTTGACGAAATGTACACATGCAAATGTTAGTTTTACTGCGTTGAGTTTAGGGTATGGGTTAGAAAAGACACTTTCTAAAGGAGCAAATGTACTCCTCTAAAGAATATTCGGCGGTTTATACTCCTCTAAATCGAGATGAGACCAGCCATACCCTGTTTTAATTTTAATTTTCCTACCCTTCAAAAATATTTATTTCTGTCGTAAAAACACAAAATGTAATACTACTTGGCACTGGTTGTTCCTTGTAATTTACTCTGCATCACATGACGGGAGTGGACACAAAATTTGAAATTCCACATGTTTCCCACTAGAAATCCAGCGAAAATCCATGCGAAAAATCCTAAACGGAGCCGCGGCCGGCCAAGCCAAAGCCCGCCCTCCGTCGACCGAGAACGAGAAGGAGAGCGAGACCGCCGCCGGGCCAACCAGGAACAGAATTACTGCCACCGGTCATTACGGAGCCGGCGGACGGGGTGATGAGCTTAAAAAGGGCCCCGGCAGCGGAAAGGCATCCTCCTCCCCATCCCAAAATCGAAACAGGATTCCATTAAAGCCCTCTTCCACTTCCAGCTGCCGCGGGGCATCACCGCCACTTTGACCCTCCCAATTGCCCCTCCAGCATCCATTCCTCCTCCTCCTTCGCCCCCAAGCCTCCTCCTCCTCCTCCTCCTCCTCCACCTCTTCGCCATTCTCCTATAAGTGCCGCGTCCCCGGCTTCTCTCGATTCTCCGCGTAAAGGAACGACGCGCCTCGGCTAGCTTGCGCGGCGGTTCTTGGACGGCTCCGTTTCTTGCGGCGGCAATGGAGGGCAGGGCCGGCGGCGGCGGCAGCGGCGACTACATTACCAGCCTCCTCACCTCGTCGCCGATGCTCGACTTCGGCGTGCTGGACGGCGCCGTGGCGGCGGGCGGGGACTGCCTGGACAAGTTCTGCGGCGACCCGGGGTTCGCGGAGCGGGCGGCGCGGCTGTCCAGCTTCAACGGCCAGCACTTCGCGCCGGGCCTCTTCGGGATGCCGCCGCCGGGCGAGTTCGGCGGCTCGCGGGAGGCGTCCTCCGTGTCCGACCCTGCCTCGGCGATGAAGGACGCCAATGCCAAGAAGAGGAAGGCGCCCGCGGGCAAAGGCAAGGCCAAGGAGCCTTCCCTCAGCACCTCTTGCCAGGTGAGCAGAGCTTGGCTCTGTCTTTCTTCGCCAATTGGGGGACTTGCCCGCCATTGACGCTGACCAAGCCGCGTCAATTGTGTTGTGCCTTGCAGGTCGGGGAGCAGAAGGAGGCGGACGGCAAGAGGTGCAGGACGGGCGACGCCGAGAAGAAGGTGAAGCCCAAGGCGGAGCAGGCCGGGAGCGACAGCTCGGTGGAGGACGGCGAGCAGAGGAAGGGCGGCAAGGGGAAGAATGCCAAGCCGGCGGAGCCCCCCAAGGACTACGTCCATGTCCGGGCAAGGAGAGGCCAGGCCACTGACAGCCACAGCCTCGCAGAGCGGGTACAGTCCTGAACTCCTGATCATGCTGCTTCTCCTTCCTTCTAGTAGCATGCTGTTGCTTCGGTTTGTCCAACTCCTCCGTAACGGAATTCCCTTGGACGCTCACAGGTGAGGAGAGAGCGGATCAGCCAGCGGATGAAATTCCTCCAGGACCTCGTTCCAGGATGCAACAAGGTAATTAGTCATTTATTAGTTCACAATGATAAATCAGAAAGAGAGAAAAAACAAGCACATGATAATCTTGATGAACATTTCTTTTGTAATATATAGAAGACAGTCTTTGTGTACAAGGTTATCAATTAAACTGGCCAAATTTTGTGCGTGACCTTTAGGTGATTGGCAAGGCACTGATGCTTGATGAGATCATAAACTACGTGCAGTCGCTTCAACGGCAAGTCGAGGTAAGAAGAGCGTGGGCCTGCTGAAACCATCCGATGCGCTCTGAATTCTGATCAACTCCTCCTCTGTTTCCGTTGCTTCAGTTCCTCTCCATGAAGCTCGCGACCGTGAACCCGCTCGACTTCAGCAACCTGCCCACGCTGCTGCACAAAGACGTGAGCTCAAAACCCACCCCTGCTCTTCATCATCACCATCGCGCCGTAACGAGTCGTTGGTTACTTACTCACCTTGTCCCTGTCGAATGCAGATGTACGGCCCATCGGCGAGCTCGGTGTTCTCGCTGGAGAGCTCCAGCTCGGCCTTCCCGTTCAGCGACCAAGGAGACGTCTTCCAGTCCTTCCTGCCCAGCAGCATGGAGAGCCAGTGCACCCTGAATCAGCTGGACCTGGCTCTGTCCCAGGCCACCAACGCAGCAGCGCAGTACGCCTTCCAAGATGGGACGGCCACGGCCAGCACGAACCTGCAGCAGGTGATCATTCTTGCCTTCAGAATTTCGTGGCTCTTCGCGTCGCTTGACGAAAGAATCGTTATAGACCTTATCCTGATACAGTTTAGTTTTGTGTTGCGTCTGTCAGCAGAGGAATTTCTGGGAGGACGATCTCCAGAGCGTTTTTCATGTGGACACCAACAGGCAGAGCCAGGATAACGGGGTCTCGGCAGAGAGCTTCCACGGTTAGTTAAAAGCCCGCGATTTGTCTTTCGAAATCGTCGCTACCGTCGATGATGGCATCGTCACTGAACGGACTTGAAAGCAGGTGATCTGCAGGCAGGCCAGATGAAAATGGAGTTCTAGCCGGCGCCGCTGAAGTAAAAAAAGGATTGACGGTCTGTACATAGGAAGAATCAAGAAGACGGAAGCGGTGGCGAGTGAAGCTATAGCTCTCAGCTCTGAAGCTAACAGTCTCTGTAATTAGGCTCTACTACTACCAAGGGACGAGTTTCTTGTGTCATATTCTGCCTCTAGGGCGGTGTGATGTGATTCCTCTAATATCGCTGGCACTGATTAGCATATCTCATCGATATTTTAAGTGATTATTAATATAGCATATCTCTCCTGCCGATCCTAATACTGCTGCCCTTCAAAGTTTTTATTATCTGTGGCGATGAGAACCCCCGTCAGTATACTGAATCTTCCTTGGAGCTTAGCTTCTCTCCGCCTTAAGCCGTCTGTTGCGTGCTCTGCTGGCCGGGGCCGGTGCTACCTTACGCTACGTATGCTCGCTGTCAGCCCGGCGGTTAGAGCGAAACGCACGCCGCGCCGCACCAAAGCTGGGTAGGTTACACGTCGCTTTTAGTCCCCTCTACCATCCGTCTCGTCTCCTCTCCTCTCCTCGCTGGATCTCACGCTGCGTCGCGTGTTCTTCCTGCAGCCACCCGTCGCTCTTCAGCTCTGTATACTTCACCGAGCTTCAGGCCGTGCCCAGTTTCTTCAGAGAAACTACTACCGTAGCTGCATGCGGGCGTTACAGTTTGACATGCGGCTGTCGCGGGGCTCGCCCAACTTTCTTATCGTCGTCGATCGAGCATGCAGCGAGCCAAAGCAGGGGCGATGAATGCCGTGCCTGCCCATTTCTTCCCCTCTCTTATGGCGCTGCTAGCCCGCTTCGGATGCGGCAGCCGGTTCATGGCGGTAAACCTCGTGCCGCGGATGTGGCCGGCAATGCGGAGAGTGCCGTGCTCTGTTTCTAGGTTGCGTCTTTGCTCCTTCCGGTGATCTAACAGCAGCACTGCTTTTAACCACTCGTAGATTAGTGCTAAAAACGCATTTACATTATATTATGAGACGGCGAGTATAAGATTTTTTTCAGAGATATTAATACAGACAACATATTCTAAAAAAATACAGACAACATATGATTCTCAAATCCATGCAATTCATGCACGTCAATCATACGGCAAAACTGCCCGAATACCAAAAATCGAAATAAAACAAAGCAAATCATAATTCAATAAACCGGACATGAAAAAAATGAAATCAATTTTCAAGCGTGACAGATAGCTTCGGATCACTAGCTGGCCGCCTGCTCCGAGTGGAATGCGTCCTGCTCTGCCTGTATCCTGGCTGCTTGCTCCGCATGCATCCGGGTTGCCTCCTTCGTCTGAATCCGGGCCGCAACCGCCCTCACCGCCGCGTACTTTCTGCGGTTGTTGATCTTCATCTTCTTGTCTGTAAGCCACTTCTTCGCATGCTCATCATAGAGGGTGTAGTCCGCCAACATGATCCTTGCATCTTCCGCGTCCCGAGCGAGTTGCAACCTCTCCTTCTCAAGCTCTATGTCGCCAAATGTCTTGGCCTTCTCGAGCTCACATTTGATCGTCGCTTGTTGCTTCTCCAACTCGATCTTCTCCCTCTCATTTTCGAGCTTCTTCTCCGCCCTCTTTCGGTCCCACTTCATCCTTTCCTTTGGCGCATCCAACATGAGCTTGTACCTCTCCTCCTTGTTCTTCCTCACCGAAAAAATGCCCGTCCATGTGAACGACATTTTGGTAGCCGCGGCATCACGGGCGGCACATGCCTTCTCCCACTTGTTTCCCATGACTTGGCGGTTGTCCTTTGGCACGGTGGCTTCCTCATTCATCACGAGGACATCGTCCACTTCATCATCCAACCCAATTGATTGGGTGGAGCTTGAGCCATCATTCCTCTTCTTGCAAGACTTGAGGTCGGTCATAAGTTGGTTTCACTTCAACTTGCCATTCAATATGACCCATCAATGGCTAAAAGCAAATGGCTTCTTCTCCACCTCGTGATACAAAGTGGCCGCCACCGCCGTCTAGCAAACAACATATGTATGAGCACGAGAATTCAAACACAAGAAGCATATACAATGGACGACTAGATGAGGCAATCGAGCCTACGTGAGTTGCGACTTCCATCCCACTTTGAGGGCGTTTGGTCACTTGTGAGTAGTAGCCGACATACTTTTTCACTTTTCCTTGAACGATCCCCCAACGATGTTGGAGAGATGCCACATTGCGTGTGGTCACGATAGGATCCGGCTCCACATACTCCTTTTTCTCGTGATACTCCTTCCAAATCTTCTTCCAATAGGTGTTTCCCCTTTGCTCGGAGCCGCATATTGGATCCATCGTTGTGGCCAACCAAGCTTTGAACAACAAGATATCCTCAAATCTTAATAATGCCAGACTTCTTGCCTTCGGCTTCTTCTTCTTCTTGCTCGGGTTGGGATCGGTTGTTGTCTCCACTTTAAATGCGGTGGTGGCCTCCAATTCATACTCCATTTCAGTCGGATCTTCATTGTCATTGTTCATGTTCGACAAGAACACCTCCTACATGATTAAGATTTGCAAGCATTCATCATGAGCAAAATGAACTAGTTGTCTATGTTAAAATATGATCGGACAAGAGCAAAGAAAACACACCAACTCTTGTTCGGTCATTCCGTCGAACATGTTGAGGGCAGCTCGGGCACTGCCGGAGCCCATGCTCATCCGCACCCAAACGAGCTGCGGTGAGTCACACACGTCGACCGTCGGCATCTGCGTGGGCAAAAAGTTGTCCGGAATGGCCCTGCCAGCAGTCAGATCATCCGGTGTCCCAAGGGGGTCGGACAACATAATCCGCGTAGGCGCTCGAAGCGAAGGGGTGTGGGGATCCGGGCGCGGCGGAGGAGACAGCTGCTCCACCACGTCTGAACCTCCCCGCGAAGCCGTCGCCGCCTCCCTCTCTCGCTGCCGGCGTCGCCGCAACTTGTGGGCGATATTCTCCGCCTTGCAAGTCGCCGCTGACGGACGAGGCGAACCGCGTCTCCGTCGCGGCGGTGTGGGTCGGGCTGGACAACATCTCTGGCGGTGGATCGGGACCGGAGGTGAGGATAGGGAGCAAGGGTGGAGGCCAGCGAGGGTCCGGGCGGGGAATGGTTGGAGGGCGGCGGGAGGAGGAAGGGTTTGGTGGATCTGGTGCAATTGGGGTGGGGTCGGGCTGTCAGGTCCGACATAGCGGGCGTGCACGCGCGCGTTCGGGCGCCCCATATTCGCCCCATATTTGGGCTGGATATGGGGGGTGCCGGTCAGTCCAGGCATTTAAGGCTCATTTGAGGGGCCCGTTTGGGTCAAAAATTCGTGACCAAGCAGTGACCGGGCGGCCCGCCCGGACGTATGACGTGGGGTTGAGAGTTCCGGCTGTAGATGCTCTTATATACAAGTATTGAATCTTTTCAACACACGTATATATTTATTCGATATAAAAGATGGATTTTATTAGCTTAAAATATAGCATCAAGGGATACAGTAAATAAAGCACACACCCGATCTCTACTTTCCACATATAGAATTGACATAACCAACATCAATGCACGCGCGCACACATCACATAGACAACTAGCAACATCACACAAGACCAAAGCTATGCATTAGTGGAGTAAACTAAATTTTTTTTTTACCGATGATCAACAATCTACAAAAGCAATCAAACACATCAACCATCTTTTGAGACCACTAGAACAACAAGAAGGATTGGATTCGGCAAGTAGCAACACCTTCAATATGGAACGCCGCCCAAACGCCGCTATTGCGGGATCCAACCACCAAAAACCAGGTCATCGGGTTTCACACTGAAAAACAAGCCCGAGCAAATCCAAACAATGACCTCAACAAAGTAACATCACAATAAAATTAAGACCATGCTTGCACAAGAAGACAGCCGAGCTGCAATAAGTCACTATGTATTCGCACGCAGTTCTATCAAGATGAGCCACGCAACGTAAACTACCACGATACAATAATTACCAGGTAATACATTGTAGCAGTAGTCTATGTAGATACTAAGCTCCTATGATTTGAAGCATTCTGGTGCTTTGGAGGTTGCGGGGTTGTTGAGGAGCCCGTCTGTATGGTTATGTGCTATTTAGTTTTATTTCTCCTTCTCTTATTTATTTTCTTTCTCATTTTAATTTATGAGCACCTATTAAATTTTATGAGCATTAAAAAATATATTTAAAACAAATCATATTTTCAGATTTATTAATATTAATTACATTCTCGTATATTTTTTAAGTTCATGATCATTTTTAAAGTTTATTTAATGTGCAAGCATTTTTTGAAATCCATGAATATATTTTAAATTCATGAATGTTTTCTTAACTTTATGGTCTTTTAAGTTTGCAATTTATTTTTTATCGTTGACCATCTTTTGTTCGACCTATCTTTTTAACGAAAAATATAGCTGATTTCTTTTCTAAGCTAGCGAGGGCTGAGCAAAAGAAAAAAGCTAAGCAAGCGAGAGCATTAGCAAGCCAAACTAAACGAGCAAGAGCTTCATGGGCAGGCTCATATGAGCGTTATATCATCAATTCCACGGTTGCAGCATGAAATAGAAGCTCTCAAGGGGCTAAAACGATCCCCTCCGACTGACACCAAGACCTATACGTGTAAAGACACCACAATCATGCATCAAACAATTTCATTCTCCTCTTAGAAGAGAACTAAAAACACCGTTATAGCATAATCAACTCATAAGTCAACATAAACAAAATCTGAACAACAACTAGTCGCAATAATCTACTAAATACTCCCTCCGTCTCAAAATTCTTGTCTTAGATTTGTGTAGATACGGATGTACCTAATACTAAAATGTGACTTGATACATCCATACTTAGACAAATCTAAGACAAAAAATTTGGGACA